CCGGATCAGCTTGTTCTTTACAAGGTTGGTAATCAGAGCTTCGTTAGTCGCCCCAGAGCTTCGCCAAGCCATGCTGAAAGCTTTACTCTGTGCAGTTACAGATGGGGGCTTGAAGAAGAGGGAAGGTCCGCGTACGCGGTTGAACTTAGCGGAAAGAGGCACCGTGAAAAGTAGTACTAGGGGAGCAAGACGAATGGAGATGATTTAGTTAGATAGAGATATGCTCATATAAATCAAAGACCAGGACAAGCTTGAGACTAACGCGATTATGTGTGTCAAGAGCTCATGATGCATGCATAGCAAGTACACCGGTGTACATGTGGCAAGCGCGCCCAGGTTACGAGCTCGTGTAGCTGTCAAAGAGGGGTGGGTGTGATGTAAACGCGCCATAACTAATCCCTGCTTATCGATAAGCGTCCGCTCCCAAAAGTCCCAGAGAAATTTCGCGTCGCATGCGCTCACACCTCACGAACCACGACCATGGCACCTCCCGCGACAAAACGGAGAAAGCTCGAGCACAGCGACTCGGAGGACGGCAGTGAAGGAAGTTTCGCCCATTTCGACGGCGACAACGGTGGAGTCGCGCTGGACGGCAGCGATGCCGAGGATGCGCTCGATCACAGCGATGCCGAGATGGACAGCGCAGAAGAGCTCCAAGACGACGATGACGAGGATATGAGCGGGGAGGAAGGAAACGACTTTGAGGAAGAAGAGGACGTCCATGAGAGCAGGAAGCAGACGACTGCCGGCAAAGCGACGAGCGCGTCCAAGCCGCCCAAGAGACCTGCGCCGAGCCTGCAGGACGGCGTATACACTGCGGAATCCTTCAAGTCGAACATGTTCAAGCTTCAGCTCGATGAGCTGCTCGACCAGGTCAAGCTGAAGTACGGCAAGAAGGAAGCTCCCGCAGAGAACGCGATGCGCACCCTCAAGACCATCATCGAGCAGATACCCGCCCGCGAGCCATTGCCAGTATGTGAAGAATGATTCGGATGGGGTCAGTACAAGCTAATCAACCGTAGATTGCTGAAGCCGAGAAGGCGCTCAAGTCAGCCGGTGTCGCGGTCCCCTTCCCCAGTCCTCGCCCTCCTAAAGACGCCCTCTACAAGCTGCAGTACGAACGACCTGCGAGCATCAACGCGACCGGCAGCTACCCACTCAAAATCGCGACTCGACACGACGAAGGCATGTCAATTGATCTAGTTGTGACAATGCCCAGAAGTCTGTTCACAGACAAGGATTACCTGAATCACCGGTACTTTTACAAGCGCTCGTACTATCTGGCGTGCCTGGCTGCTGGCATCAAGGCTTCGAAGGAACACAAATTTCAATCATCCTTCGACATCCTGAACGGCAACCAGCTTCAGCCTATCCTAGTTGTACGACCGAGCGGAAACGGCGATGCGGACGACTTCTCAAGCTCCAAGTGCCAGATCAACATCCTGGTCGCGGTACCGGAGAAAACCTTCCCGTCAAACAAACTGCTGCCCACCTCGAACTGCGTGCGACCAAAGGGTAGCGACGACGAAGCCTCCACCAAGACGCTCACTCCAACGCCATTCTACAACAACACACTGCAATCGGATGCCAACGTCACGGCTTACCTCAAGCTTCTTCACGGCACCGCCTCGAGAGCTGATGCGTTCAAGGACGCTTGCATACTTGGACGTGTTTGGCTGAAGCAGCGTGGCTTCGGTAGCCAGATTCGCAAAGGAGGTTTCGGAAACTTTGAATGGGCTGCGATCATGGCTATACTACTGCAGCCAAACGCTGGCACCGGTGCACAATCTGTCTCTTCAGGATTCAGCAGTTACCAACTGTTCAAGTCGACGTTGCAGTTTTTGTCCCGAGGTGATCTCACAAAGAAACCGTTCATCTTCCAAGCCACCAACATCACCATCCCGAAGGCAGAGACCGCCCCTGTCGTGTTTGACGGCCCTCGTGGACAAAATGTCCTTTTCAAGATGACACCATGGTCCTACACGCGTCTACGATCCGAAGCGAAAACTACCGTAGACATGCTCAGTGACTCTGTGTTCGATCACTTCGATGCGGCATTCATTCTGAAGACGGAGTTGTTGAAGTACCGTTACGATGCCACACTTGAGATACCTCTTGCATCGCTTGGACTCGAAAACGCCGGTGAGGAATACGACCAACGCGTCAGCGAGACTTGCAAGAAAGTACATAATAGTCTAACTCGCGCGCTTACCGACCGCATCTCGGCTTTGTCATTCACCATGCCCGAAGAAGAGTCGTGGTCGATATCCTCGCGACGTCCACAGGATAAGCAAAGCAGAAGCATGCTTGTCAACTTCGCTACTGATCCCGCCAATGCAACTCGTACTGTCGACCACGGTCCTTCTGCTGAGAACAAACAGGAAGCTGCAGCTTTCCGAAAATTCTGGGGCGAGAAGGCGGAGCTCAGACGCTTTAAAGATGGCAGCATTCTTGAGAGTGTTGTCTGGGCCGTCAAAGACGCATCTGTTTCCGTGATCGAACAGATCGTACTCTACATTCTTGGCAAACACGTAGGTGAGAAAGTGGCGGAAGCAGCCAAGTTCTCGAGCGACTCGTTTGGACACCTCATCCCTGCTGGCCGCATGCAGGGACAATCTGGGACCGCGCCATTCTTGCCCATCATGAACGCTTTCAGTGCTATGGAGAAGGACATTCGAGATTTGGAAGAACTCCCACTTCGCCTTCGCCATTTGAGGGCCGCCGACCCACAACTTCGATATGCGTCTATTGACGTCCCAGCTGCAGGCCATGCTCCCGCTTCTGTCGTATTGCAATTTGAGGGTTCTGGTCGCTGGCCGGACGATCTATGCGCCATACAACGGACCAAGATCGCTTTCCTGCTCAGGCTAGCCGAGCTTCTATCGAAGCTTGAATCTGGCTACGTTGCTCGCGTGGGCATGGAAAATCCGTCACAACCAGCTCAGAACCAAGCGTTCCTGGATGTTACCGTCGCTGCAGGCTTCACATTCCGTATCCGCATCTACCACGACCGTGAACCTACGCTGTTCGACCGCCAGATCAAGGATAAGTCATTGGATGGACCATCAAGAGAATCCGCTGCTGCATCTCTGGCACTGTACAAGCGCGAGTTTGTTCAGTCCCCTATGCATTCGCAGGTACTACAGACGTTATGTACCCGTTTCTTGGCCCTCTCGCCAGCCATACGGTTGATGAAGAAGTGGTTCGCATCGCACCTTCTGGCTCCGCACTTCTCGCCTGAGCTTATTGAGCTTCTCGTCATCCGCACATTCCTGCAGCCGCACCCATGGCTGGTACCCACAACCGCAACTACTGGCTTCCTACGAACGTTGTCTTGGATAAGCCGATGGGACTGGAGACATGTGCCATTGATAGTCGACTTCTCGACAACGTTCTCCGCAAACCCCGCAGATTTGGAGGACACCACATCCAAAGGTATGAAATCTGAAGATCTCGACCGGTTACGGACGCGCTTCGAAGCATGGCGTCGCATAGATCCAGCCATGAACCGCGTTGTGCTCTTTGCTGCAACAAATCTTGACGAAGAGGGCACAACCTGGACAGATAAAGCGAAGCCTGAGAAGGTTGTTGCTGCACGTTTAACGGCGTTGGCAAAGGCGGCTACGCAGGCTGTTCGAGCGGACGAAGACCGTCTGCTGAACCATATCAACAACAGCAAAGATGCTGCCAAGGCACAGAACACATTCTCGCCCGAAGCACTCTTCACGCCCAGCATCTCCGACTTCGACATCACCATAACCATCTCCACGAAACACACGCTCAAGCAAACCAAATCCAGCAAATCCACTCCCAAATTCAAGAACCTCGACCTCCAGAAGTCCACGACCAGCTCATCACCGGCCGCACCACCGCTCCCGCAGCTCTTCGCACAAGACCTACTAGAAATCTACGGCGATGCCGTGCTCTGGTTCTGGGACCCGGAGACACTAGACAAGATCGTTGGGCTGTGGAACCCAGTCGTTACAGCGCAGAGGAGTTGGAAGGTCAAGCCTGGGTGGAACAGTGTTCCCGTGGCTGGCAAGAAGGATGATGTTGAGATTAAAGCGAATAGAGAGGGTATTGTGCATGAGATCAAGCGGTTGGGTGGGGAGCTTGTTAAGAGCGTTGAGGTTAAGGCATAGTTTGTAGGGTGGTGGACAATAGTGACAAGACATATAGGAGGTATTTCGAAGGAGTAGTTCAGTGGAAGCAATACCCAAACCAAAGTATTCTTTTCGATGCAGGCATCACAGCGCATTGTTTACGCTAACATATCTCGCATCCTTAGTCCGCTATCAATACCACCATCTCTGCATATTACCAGGTATAATCAAGTTTCTTCCAACTTGGACACGGCAGCAGCCTCACCAGTACCAACAACACACGTGACGAAGGTCATAGCGTAATGTTTTAGTATACAGATTCCGTAGAGTTCGGCCGATGTCACGTGCGCGCTCCGCTCAATTGGGGGTGGAGGATTACGCCCGCCTCAAGTACCCGCTTCCTTCGTCTCTGGTGGGTTAGTGCGATCGTACGCCGTGTATGTTGTGCTAGATTACCATAGATAGCTGAGGGATAATTGGAAGGGTGAAGGGATTATATGGGGGGAGGAGCAAGGTATATAAGGTGAACAGTCCTATGGAGAGCAGGATAAGTAAGAGCAGCGTATTTCTTACAATGACTCCAAGTGACTATATGGAACGAACCACTCTTGAGACTACTTTTGGTTCCTTTGTGGGCGTGGAAGAAGATGGAGTAAGAAAGTTCCTCGGCATCAAGTATGCTGAGGTCAGGAACTGGCTCGCAGCGCCCGAACTCGTCACTTGGTATGGTAATCAAATCGTGGATGCTACACGATACGGGTAACTTGGCCCCTTGTTCTCCATCCCGCAGAACTGCATGCTAAGAACAACAGACCACGCGCCCCAGCACCAGACCTTTGCTCATTCGAGCAATCCACCTTGATTCAATGCACCATCGGTGCCGCACCTGAAACTACCATGTCCCATTCGGAGTGTCTCAATCTAAACATCACCGTCCCGTCTCTTCCCACAGAAACCGGCAGCGCCCTGCCAGTCATGGTATTCATTCACGGCGGCGGCCTCATCATGGGCGCAAACTCTTGGCCGCAATGGGATCCTGCACGTCTCGTCAATATGAGCGCCGACATTGGCATGCCAATAGTTGTCGTCATTGTGAATTACCGACTAGGTGCACCGGGGAATCTGACGAGTGAGGAGTTGAGAAATGCTGGGTATCTAGGAAACAACAGTCTGAGGGATCAGAGATGTGCGTTGAAGTGGGTGAAGAAATTCATCGGTGGCTTTGGAGGTGATGGAGAAAATGTTACTGTGTTTGGGGTTAGTGCCGGTGCTGGTAAGTTATTACAAGTCGTTATCTTTAACGTGGATCGGGGGTGTGCTAATATGAGTTAGCCTCCGTATTGCATCATCTAAGTTGCAAAGAACCATTGTTCAGACGTGGGATCAGCATGTCTGGAACGCCGCTCATGCTCAAACCACTCTCGCCCGCTGTGGCCGAAAAATCTTACAAGGCTGTTCTGCAAGCCCTGGGACTCGAAGACGCTTCCACGCATGATCGTATTCAGAAGTTACTTGCCATGAGTCCCGAAGACCTGGTCCAGAAGATACCAATCAAGATTCCACTCGCTCCATACCTGGATGGCGACATGATTCCCGAAGCGCCCTCATTCGCGAACTTATCAAATGGCACGCTCCAGAGCTTGCACAACACTCGGTGCGAGGAGTTGTTGATAGGCTCGTGCGCAGATGATGGAAACGTCTTCTATTTCATGGGTCTGAGTTCGCGTCTTCCTGGCATCGCATCCGCAATTCATACATCCTTCTCCCGCAACCTCTCGGCATCGGTTGCTCAAGCCGTCTTATCTGCATACGGTATCGCACCTTCAACTCCAGACGAAGAGGCCATGACATCCATCATCAACTTAGGAACGGACATCGCGTATGGGCTTCCTGCATCGTACTACGCGCGTGCTTTCAAGGGGAGGGTTTCCTCGTATCTCTTTACTGAGCCAAATCCTTGGGACGGCATGTTCAACGGGAAGAGCGTGCATTTGATGGATGCAGTGTTCCTGTTTCAGAACTTTAATGAACATATACTTGATCAGGCGAAGAAGACGGCCAGGAAAATCGCGGAGGACTTTGTGGCTTTTGCGTACGGGCGGGCTGGTTGTACTTGGGCGGAGGGTCAGACTAAGATATATGGGCCAGACTCTGGCGATGTTGACAGGCTGGAGACATTAAGACAAGAAGGAGCTGTCGATCTCGATGAGGTCAGTGTGGCGTGGGATTTGTTTGTTGCTGGGAAGTAGCGAATGAGAGCTTCTAAGGTCTGGTTGGCCACATTCGTGTCGAGCACCCGAGTTCTCTACTTGGTCAGTCACAACAGCAGCAAAGGTTGCGTGGTTGTTGCTCATCTCATATCCTCTAATGCATTTCGGCATCGGTTTACCGAAAACGAAAATGCACGTCGCTCGCGAGTGTCCGCCGAGCGCTTTCACCCCCGCACGCCCCATGCAGTTTAGTGCGGGGTAAACTCGGCTCTGTCCTCAACTCCCGACGTGCAGTATGTGGGGTCTTCGAGCACATCCCCACGCCCCATAACCCCAGCGACGACGATGTTTGCCGCGCAGCTTAGCCGGGACGATGTTTCCGATCGGCAAACATGCGAGAGCGATGGTGTAGTAAGGCATACCACGCTATTCTTTGACGGCGCATGGTATTTTCTTCCTTAGGAACTCGAGCATTGATCTTGCAAAGCACTATCAACCTCAAGCCTTGAAAACGCTGAAGCAATCAGTGAACAAACGACATGTCGAAACCAGTAGCCATTGTGACAGGCGCCGGCTCCGGCATCGGTGAAGCAGTCGCAACCCACCTCTACAGCAAAGGCTTCAAAGTTGTCGTCGCAGACCTCAATCCCTCGTCCGGCGAGCACGTAGCCAGTGCCCTTGGACCTGACGCCATATTTCATCGAGTCGACGTCTCATCATACAAATCGCAAGCACAGCTGTTCAAACGCGCATACGAATGGGGTGGCAACCGTCTGGACTTCTGCCATGCCAATGCAGGTATCGATGACCGACAGAACATCTTTGAGGATATGGACAAGGAGGAGCTGGATGAGGACGGCTTGGTCAAGAAGCTGAATACGAAGACTATGGAGGTCAATCTTGAAGCCGTCATCCAGGGACTATGGCTGTTCAAGTATTATGTCAGGAGAAGTAAAGAGGCAGGTGGGGGGAAGGGCAAGTTTGTTGCTACAAGCAGTGCGGCAGGATTATAGTAAGTCATTTCCCCTACAACCCCTAGTGTAAAGAGACTCAAGAGGCTAACGAGACCATTAGCGCCATGACACAATGCCCCCAATACACCGCCAGCAAATACGGTGTCATAGGTCTATGCCGCGCCTCAGGCCCCGTATTCGTCAAAGAAGGCATCACCGTCAACGCAATCTGCCCAGCCTTCATTCCCACAAATCTCTGTCCACCAGAAGTAGCAGCACGATGGCCGAAAGAGCACATCACACCTTTGTCGACAGTGAACAAGGCCATGGACGCTTTCCTCGCAGACGACAACTTGACTGGCCAGGCGGTGGAGTTATCACAGGAGAATATCTACTTTAGACAACAGGTTGATTATCCGAATGAGAGTCAGCGGTGGATTGGCTTGGAGAGTGATAAGATCTGGGATGTGGGGTACAAGGAGCCGCCGAAGAGGGCGGGGTACTAGGACATGTTTTGTATCAATCAGATTTTTTTTGGTAGACTCAATTCGTTGGCTCGGGACAGTCTCGGTGGCTCAAACTGAACCACGAGTTCGATATCATGCATCTGAGCATGCTCTTGAACTCGTGGTTGAGTTCGAGCCACCTAGACTGTCTTGAGTCATCATATCTATGAATACCAAACTACCCACATTAATAGTTCAACCCTTCCCTTTCTGCCCTCTCGCTCTCCTCCTTCATAATCTTGGCATGTGCCTCACTCCTCGGCCTGATGTCGCATTCAAACGGCTCTGGCACACTCATAAACCCTGGCTCCATCTTCGTATTAACCTCCACCTCTTCTCCGTCTTTCCCTGTCTTCTTGTTGAGATTGAATCCCCAGAGTACGCGCGATACGTTGATGAACAGTGAGCGTTCAGCGACATGGACACCGGGACATCCACGCCGCCCCGCGCCATAGGTGAAGTGATCGCGTTCCAGAGGATCGGGACTGTTCATGTAGTGTGCCGCAGATGCGGTATGGTTTAGATAGCGAGATGGGTCGAAAGCCGTGGGATTGGACCAGAGTGTTGGGTCGTTGTGTATAGCCCTATAACACGAATCAGTCAAATGGTAATGGGTAGGATAATGGGGAAAGAAGGTATACATACCACCAATTCAACACAATGACACTCCCCTTGGGAATAAACCACCCCTCATACCAATCATCCTCACTGATCGCATGCGGCATGCCAAACTTGTTCACGGGCCTCCACCTCAATACCTCTTTGATCACACTCCTCACATACGGCAACTTCTCCTCATCCTCCCACGTCGGCAACCTATCTCGCCCAACGACCCTATCCAACTCTTCCTGTGCCTTCTTCTGCGCCTCAGGAAATAACACCATACAAAGTACAAAGTTGTTCAGCGTCGACCCCGTAGTCTCGGAGCCCGCTTCAATAAGCCCGCCGCACGTGTACGCCGCAGCCAAATCATCAATCCCCGATTTCTCAGGCCCGTTTAGATAGAACGTTTTCGTGAAGCAATCTTTCGCCACACCGGCATCTGTGTCTTTTTTGAGCTTGTTCCACAGATCGAGGTACACTTTACTGTCTTGTTCGCACAGCTTTTGCCCATGGGTGCGCCAGTTACCGAAAAGCCATTGTGGCAGTGAGGCTAGCGCGGGAAAGGAATCTATAGCCCAGGCACCAGGTGCGGTATTCACGGTAAAACGGTCGATGACGCCGTAGATGCGTTTTATGAGCGGGTCATCCCAGCTGGGTATCCGGTAGCCGTAGGTAACTTGCATGATTACGCTGGCAGAGTAGCGGCGGTTGATGGACATGAAGTCAGCGGGGTCGCGCATTAGTTGTTGTAGTAGGACTTTGCTTTCAAAGTCTTGCACCGGTTGATAGTTCGTGCTTGCTGTTAGATTCAGGAGCGCATGACTGTGCTTGCGGATACTACGCCATCTGGGCCCGTATTGCATGAAGAGTTGGCGGCGGCCCGCTGACAAAACGTCTTGAGCCATGGGGGCTGGGGCGCGAGAAGAGTAGATGTTGGATTTCTTGTCCATGAGGTCTTTTACGGCTTGGGGTGAGGAGAGCCAGATGTAGTCTGTTCCGCCAATCTTGGTGTGGAATACATGGCCGTACTGCTTGCGCCAGGCGATGGCTTTCTCGCGGACGGCTTCAGTGTCTGCGAGCTCGAAAAGGGACCCGACGAATGGGTGGCCCTTGGGACCTGGTGGGAGATGTCGACGTCTTGTGTCCTGCGATCCGAGTCAGTAGAATGCGCTGGGTTATCTCATGGAGTGTGTTACCTTGATGGCGTTGGGTACGACAATGAAGTATATGGTTAAGAGAAGAAGTATTGGTGTTGTAGCAATAAGCCCAAGTTTGATGACAAAAGACGACCGCCAAGTTGCCTGAACAATGTCGAGGAAGGTCATGGTGATTATTTGCTGTGTGAAGATGGAGAAAATGTTCAACCACTTGGAAGCCTACCTTGAAGCACTTAGATGGTGAGCTGTGATGCTGTTGTTCCATTCATACAGTCTGTAACCCCAGATCTTCCAAAATTTAATGCAGCTATTGGTGAGGCTGTATAGTTCTAAGAGTTGGGGTATACCTAGGTATTTCGTGGACCCTGCAGCTTCCCCGCAACATGGGCCCCACAAGCCGCTGTACCCCAGGATACTACAACACGATCCTGGTGAGACCAAGTCGGCATCGGATGTGAGCAAAAGGTTGGGAAAGAGCACATACCCCGGAAAAGTGAAAGGGATTGGGGAGAGAACGACTCGAAAGCCGCAACACCCAACACCGCATCCTCAACATGCCGTTAGAACGCGACGCCTCCGGCCGAACATTCATCCACCACCCGTCCGGTCAACGAACCCACTACATCCTGAATGACTTCACCGACCCATGGAAATCGCGAGAAACAATCTTGATACAACATGGGTTCGGGCGCCACGCCGCCTTCTGGTACCACTGGATCCCCGTTCTATCTCGTAAATACCGTGTCGTACGACGGGACTTGCGAGGCCATGGATACTCCAGCTATCCCCAAAAAGCAGAAAAGTACGACTATACCTTAGATACGGTATTAGGCGAGGTTGTCGATACGCTTGATCAACTGTGTGTTGAGAAAGTGCATTTCCTCGGCGAATCGACAGGGGGCATTCTGGGCGAGATATTCGCGGCGAAACACCCAGAGAGGCTGCTGAGCTTGACTGTTTGCTCTACACCGACTTATCTACCTCCAGTGGCTTTGCGGCTATTCGCTTTCGGTAGGAAGGATTGGCCGACGGCGTGCAGGGAGCTTGGGTCACGGGGTTGGGCAGAGGAGTTGTCGCGCATTCCGGGGACTATCCCCGTGACGGATCCGCAGTATCTTCCGTGGTATTTGGAACAGATTGCTGTTAGTGATGGTGAGGGTTTGGCTCAATATGCGGAGTTTCTATCGACATTGGACGCGAGGCCTTGGTTGGGGAGGATCAAAGTGCCGACGTTAATCTTATCGCCAACGCAGAGTGCTGCTGTAAAAGTCGAAGATATGAAAGTCCTGGCGGAGAAGATCGAAGGAAGCAAGCTCGTGCTTGTCGAGGGCCCAGGACATGAGATTTATGTCACTCAAGCGGAGCAATGTCAGCAGGCGTTCCTAGGATTCCTGGAGAATCTGGACAGGGACATCACTAAAAGATAAAATTAACGTAAATTGTAATGGGTGTTTTACATTATGGATTGCTGCATATATCATGCGCAAAACGTACTCGCTGGACCCAGAAGTCTACAATGCGTTGAGATCAAACCAACCTTTCATCTTGATACTAATGTAGCCTGCAGCGCGCCTCTTCGATTTCTCCTTTTGGAATCGCTGTGGACCATTTTAACGGCTCAGAAAAAAAAAGAACGACCGCCTAATGTCTGCATCAAACGCCGTTAATGCAAGTGTGAGTGGGTTTTACCATAATGCTCCTAATGCGCCGCTATGCAATAGTCATGAAACATGTGAAGCCAAAAACGTGAGTGCTCGGTGCGAAATGTAGAATGCACCGGGGTCGGTAGTGTGAAGTGTGGCAGATCATGCGTCCTGTCG